TCTCTTAGGTTAACAGCAAAGCAAGGTAGGCAAAGGGTTCCCATCACCTTCAGGCACAAACTGTCTGTTGATGCTTTTGTTGAAGAGTTGATAGATATTTTGGGAAATTTTTATGATGAGTCATCAAGGCATTGTCTAGGCAAGAATCTCCTAGAATAGTAAGGTTCTGCTGAAGAAGACAATGGAATAGCAGTGTCATGTTAATGTCAAGTAAGCTCTGCAGAGTGTAGGTAATTTGGTTCTCAGAACTTCGTCAAAATAGATTCTCAGAATGCATCTTCAACAGCTCTTATTCAATGAAGCCCGAGAACCTCTATTCTTAAGAGCTTTATTGAGAACCAACCCTATATGCTGAAGGATAGAGCGGCCCACACACCACCCCAAAATATGCTGCCTTGATATATTGCTTATTTTGAGCTAATGGCATTTGAAAAATAGCGAATGCATGGAGAAGATTTCTCTGAACTTCCCTTCTCTGTCTAAAGACAGACCCTCCAAAAGGAACTTTCTTGTCACCAGTCATCTCCCTGGAAGTTTCATCAACCAGGGTAGATTGCCTCTTAACACATGAGAAGAAACTAGAACTCGGCCCCACAACCAGTTAAACTGTCATAAACAATCATATCCCATCTATTATTCTAAGGCAGGGGTGGGGAACATCTGGCCCAAGGACCTTATAAGGCCCAAGAAATCATTGGTCTGGCCTTGCCAAGGCATTGGGAGTGAGTTAATTAAATGTTTGACCAAATATAGCAGGCTAATTTTTAAGTTGATGATTTTGTACGGCCTGAGAATAACATTATAAATATCTAAATGGCCCTTGACAGAAAAAACTTCCCCCACTCCTGTTAAGGGCCCATTCATCTTCCTAAAAAAATCATTTATTCTCCCTTACAAGGTCTACACACTCCCCATCCCTTTCCCTAATAACATGGTACTTAAGACTAGATTCTAAAGCCACCTCTGAGTTATTCATTTTTCCCTGGGTATCTCCCATGTACATCTGTTCTAGCTTCTGTTTTTCTCTTGTTAATCTGTTTCTTTTTATACAGGGGGTCTCAGTTAAGAACTCAGAAGGATAGAAGGAATTTCTTTTTCATCCCCTACAAAGCAGTGAACCACTGTAGGCTTTGCGTCTTCGTGTCTGCCTGGATCCCAGCTGTGCTTTGGGAGACGCGGACACCTGTGCGGGGAACCCAGCAATCATCCAAACAAGATAGAACGTGGTATAAACTGTGAGTTTGAGGACATGGGTTAATTCCATGATGCTGGGCAAGGCCTCTTTGTTCTCCATTTTCCTCATCTCTTTGATGACCCTGGGTCTTCTCCAAGCTACGTGGCAGAGAACATGTGTCTCCATGGCCAGGGAAGGCAGAGCCAGGAGAAATCCTTGAGGAAACACATCACAGGAAAGGCAGGAAGGCCGCAGGAAGCAGGGATTCCCAGGTGCCTTTGGAAGGAGGGGAGGGGAAACTGGAAGCTTCTTGAGCCTACAGGCTCCTTAGTCAGCGACTGGTAAGTGTGCATGACAGGGTGGGTGTGGGGGTGTACATAGAGGGAAGAGGAATGATTTAGAGGTTCAACCCAGAATCTTCACCAACTTGCATTCAGAGTGAGAAAGGCCATAATTTAGGACCCCTGGGCCGCCCCTGACTTAAACTGTCAGCTCACTGGACTAGAAGTCCCCCAGACCTCTCAGCCTATCTGACCCCTTATATAGTAGATGTGATCTTGGTTAAATTTCTCTCTGTTCCTCTCCTTCTCCTCACATTCACAGATGTTTCTCAGCCAAGGACACAGAACTACTAAGTGCAAAGGTATCTCCTAAAACCAGTTCTGCCAAACTCCAACTAACTCCCCCTCTCTGCCTCTTTCCTTTTCACAGCAGCATGATTGTTTCAGGCAGTCTGATGACTAATCCCTTGTCCTTGTTATAAAACTATGTGGACAGATAATGCTGCAGTTAATAACGTTGTGATTCCATCGAAAGAAGTTTCTTTTTTTTGTGGTATTAAGGCCACTTTGCCTCCTCAGTCATTCATTCATTCATGTGTTCTCTCCCCAGTTATGCATTGGGAGACATGTAGGGTATAAAATGAGATCCCTACATGCAGGGCCAGTATTTAGCCAGAAACCTCAGGGAGGTCGTTTGCAGCCACTGTCAGTTCTGATTGGCTGGGCCTGCTAGTTGCAGGCTATTAAATGTTTGTGTCATTTCCCTGCCTATGGGCCAGAGTAATTGTGTGTGTGTCCATTAATGGTGCTCGATTAAATGTGCACAGCCCAAGGGTGGGGTATGGACTGAGCCTGGAAGGCAGGGACTCATATCCAGTCCTGCTACAATCTGCCTTCATGTGACCTTGTGCACATCACTTCCTCTGGAAATCAGCTTCTCCATGGGTAAAAAAGTGTGCATGGTCTGCTACCGTTTTTGTAAAAGAAAACAGTATCTACTATGAGCCCGGGTGCACACACGGGAGCAGGTAGGCAAGGATATACACAGTGGTTGTCTCTGGGGAGTGGACCTGGGGAAGGGAAGTCTTTCCACTTTGTTCATAACAAGCATTTGTTGTAATTTTTTTAAGTTAACAACTTAAAAAGCCCTATTGGTTCCTGTTTTGTAGAAAGTCACACTTCTTATCCAAGGTCACACCAGGCCTTGGCATCTGCTCAAGGCTGTCCTGCCTGTGTGTTCCTTACGCTGCCTCAGAAAAACTGGGGGATGTGAAGCTGGGCACATCCTAATCCTGGGCCTGCACAAATGCTGCCCAGGGCTGGTGATCAGACATCCTCACAGAGTTTTCCTTGCCCTCGCCCTGCTGGCATCTGACCTACGTCAGCAAATGCCCAGCCACTGCTCAGTCAAAGAATGTTTATCTTCTCTTGTGTCCACTGCTATAAAATGCCCACAAACCTACCCCACCAAACCTGATGGATTTTCAGACTCCTTTGGATTTATAATGTCATGAAATGTCCGTTCCTAAGTCACAAGCTTAGTGGACTGAGCAGGGTGTGGGAAAACAGAATGAAAACTTGTCCCTGTCCTAGGAAGATACACCAAGAGGGGAGAGATAAGTTTTACTGTTTTCCCAGGAAACAGTCTTCTCTCTAGCAGTCTTCTTTATCCCAAATTACCTGATGATAAATAAATCACACTTTATAAAAAGAGAATGTAAAAATAGAGGTTGGAAGGAACTGTGGTGGTTGAAAGAGCACGCGGTTTTGGATTCAAATCTGGGTGCAAATCCAGACCTTGACAAGTTCACTTACCCCACTTTACTGAATGAACACCTTGTTTGGTGCCAGGTACTCTGCTGAGCATGTTGCATCCAACAGCTCGAGCCTGGAGGTGTTACTATTGTTCTCATCTTGTAACAGACCAGGCAACTGGGACTCGGAAGAAGGCCCTGCACTGGGAGAACTCAGCTGATGATGAGGGAGCCCAGATTCCTATTCAGATCCTGAGAGGTCAAGGCCAGCACCTGCTTTTCTGGATGGTGGCACCTCTCCCTCTGGATGGGTACAAAAGACTTCTGCTCCAAGTTCACTGCTATAACCAGGTCTCACCCAGACTAACACCACTGAGTTAAGTGATCCATGTGCCCTTTCCAGGAGGGACAAAAATCAAGACCCTGACACGGACTACGAAGAAGAGGCATCATGCTCAGATCAGTGGATGCAAACTGTTTTTTGGCTCAGATGAACCTGAAGTCAAATGCTGGCTCCATCGTGTACCTGACTGTGAGTCTGGGCCTCAGTTTCCTTATGTGTGGTGAGAGACTGCTGAGAAGTTAATATCCTATATAATAAAAGCCCAGCAACCTAACAGCGAAGCAACAGAATGACCATCACTATGATGCGCACTGACTACCAGGGGGCAGAAGCTCAATGCAGGAGCTTCCCCCTGGTGGTCAGTGTGCTACCACAGTGGGAGTGCCGCTCAGCTAACCGGGATGAGTGGCTGCTCTGGTTTGAACCCCTGGCTGATGGGCAGGAACCTGGGCTGCAATCATTGCCTCCTCGCCCCAGGCTCCTCCTCCTCACTCCCTGCTGCCTCCTCTGGAAGCCTGCAGGCCGAGCAGCACCGCAGCCCGGCTCGCAGAGCTGACCCCGGAGGCTGGGAGGCAGGTTCATGGCTGCAGCAGGACTGAGGCCTACTCCGACACCTCTCAGTGCTATTGTCCCTGGGCCCGGCCCCCACGGGGTCCCCTGGAGAGGTGAGTGTTCTGGCTCCACGAAAGATGCTGGACCAGGGAGCAGCCGCTCCGAGGGCGGGTCCACAGCTGCTGAGCAGACCGGGATGAGTGGCCCTCCCACAGCGGGCCGATCCCACCACCAATGCACGAATCCCGTGCACTGGGCCTCTAGTAAGATTATAAAGCACTTAGCCCAGGGTCTCATTTTGAGCAGTGGCTAATCTCAGGGGAAGAGGGTCTCTAGAGGGCTCCAAGCAGATGGAAAAGGAGGAGGAAAATTCCTGGGCCCTGGACTGTTTGGGGGATATGCTAAGCCCCCCTTTAGAAACTCTGTTCTGCCTGTCCACACCCAGTACTCTGGAACATTGGCACATCTCATCTCTTAGAGTTGCCCCCGAGCCTGCCACAGTCCAGGAAGGAGCTCGTGGTATCTGCTGCTATTCCAGGAAATCAGCCTGGAGTGAATGTGACATGTGACTTCCCAGCCACAGTGCCACAGGCAGGTAGGCCACCTGGGGAGAGGCCTAGGCTGGGTCCCTAGGCCACTTCCTCACCCAGTCTGCGCCTGACACTTGCAATAGCAATGATTAAATATCAGGTGTTCAATAGGCAAAGATTGATTTTCTTCATATACTAGTAGATGAATTCTCAGGCCCCTAGGGCAGCAGCGAGCTCTTCACCAGACCAGTCCGTATCTCCCAGGCCTGGAATCTGCTGTGTTTCACTCCTTGGTGCTCCTTATAAGGCATGCGCTTGACATTCTTTCCTGGAGACTTCAGAGAGAGGCGCCTGGGGGGAGGGAACGGCTCACTGGGGAGGGGCCTGAGGCGGACAGAGTCATTGTCCGGTGGCTGGGCCTATTTCAGCTCCCAGGCCAAGGCTTTCCCTCTGCGACTCCACACCATGAAGAAGCTGAGGGTCAGCGGACTGCCAAGGCGAAGCTGTCCTCCAGCCATGGCCCTGTGTCTGGCATCACTGCTAGCCCTGCTCTCAGCCGGGCGGGGCAGCATGGGGAATCAGGAAGTCTCCGCCATCCAAGGCTGCAAGCAGGCACTGAATGTGTCGGTGCTGGGAGCACTGCCTGGAGGCGGCTGGGACAACCTGCGCAACGTGGAGCTGGGGCTGGTGCTGGGGCGCAGCTACTCCCAGTGCCGCACCACGGAGGACGGCGAGTACCTGATCCCAGACCAAGTGTACGTGGTGCCACGGCGCGAGAGCGTGGTGGAGACCCGCGCCGAGCTCATGGACGAGTGGCTCAGCTACACCGACACCTGGGCGGCCTCCATCAACGCCGAGCTCTCCTTCCTCCCCAGCCTCAATGGTAAGTTCTCCGTGGACTTCCAGAACGTCAGGAAGTACAGCCTAGAGTATGAGACGGTCACGGCCAGAGTGCAGCTCCGCCACAACATCTACTCTGTGAAGGCCTCGGAGGCCCCCGGCTTCCATCCTGACTTTTTGCAGCATCTGCTGATCCTCAGCGACCACCTGGAGAACAACCAGACCCGCGAGGCCCAGTACCTGGCGGAGATGCTTGTGCTCAAGTACGGCACGCACGTCCTCACCCACGTGGAGGCCGGCGCTACCTTGGTGCAGGAGGACCAGGTAAAGCGGGAATTTGTGGGCAATCAGGCCGGAGAGAAGAGCAACATCACACTGGCCGCCTCCGCCTTGTTTTACCGCACGGTCAACGTCGGGGCCGCGGCCTCCTGGCAGGAGCAGAACCAGTTCATCCAGAACTACATGCGCAACTTGGTGGCCTCCAAGACGCGCAGCCACGGCGGGCTGCCCTTCTACCCGGGCATCACCATGCAGACGTGGCAGGGGGGCATCGGCAACCGGCTGGTGGCCATTAGCAGGTCCGGCCTGCCCCTGCCCGCGCTGCTGGAGCCCGAGGCGCTGCCGGAGCTCCCCCCGCCCGCGGTGCACCGGGTGGCGGCCGCCGTGCGCAGCGCCATCTATCGCTACTACGAGGTCAACGCGCACCCCGGCTGCCTGAGGCGCGGGGAGCCCGCCTTCAATCCCAAGGCCAACGTGGAGGACGGCTCCTGCTCTGGCGGCGGCCCAGCCAACTACAGCTTCGGGGGCGTCTTCCAGGAGTGCGAGGCTGTGTCCGGAGAGGACGCGGGTGACCTCTGCCAGAACTATCGCACCCCGAACCCGCTTACCGGCAACGCCTCTTGCCCGGCCAACTACACGGCCAGCGTCCTGAACAGCGAGCTGAAGACATCAAGCAAGACCCACTCTGTGTGCCAGCAGCAGTGCGAGACGTGCTGGCTCTTCTTCTCCTGCTGCCAGCCCGTGTGCACCCTCCGGGAGCTGCGCAGCGTGGTGCGCCTGGCGGCCTCCTGGTGCGCGCCCACCCAGGCCTCCCTGCCCGCCGCTGTAGGCTTCCTCTTTGGAGGCCTCTATAGCCCCAACCACCCAAACCCGCTCACTAGAGGCCAGACCTGCCCCTCCTACTTCTACCCACTGACACTCTTTGGCGACCTCAGGGTGTGTGTCAGCAGCGACTTAGAGTTGGGGACAGCCCAGGCAGTTCCCTTTGGGGGTTTCTTCAGCTGCCAGGTGGGCAACCCCTTGGCTGGCCTCATGAATGGCCAGAGCGCTGGGTTCCTGCAGGAGATGTTCTACCAGGACAGTCCCACAGTCCACCCCATGAAGTGTCCAGAAGGGTACAGCCAACACCAGGCTTACCTCAGCGATGGGTGCCAAATCCTCTATTGCCTCAGGGCTGGGACCCTCTCGGACCAGGAGCAGGTAGCTATCCGCATGCCCCCATTTCTTCCCCGCCCTCTCTTGCTCAACAACAGCAGCTGCTCCCAGAGGCTCTCTGTCCTGGTGGACTCCAGTGGCCAGCAGGTCTGGGTGAGGCAGAAAGGCTGCGACCACTGGCAGCAGGCCAACATCAATGACCAGTCTCTGCCGGCCAACCTCTTGAGCCAGGCTGCCTCCGGGCCCAGTGTCGGGGCCATTGTTGGCGCCTGCCTGGGGATCATAGTGGGTGTGGTGGCTGTTGCTCTGGGGGTAAGCTATGCCTTCAGGTACTACAAGAAAAAGGTCTATGGAAAAATACAGGATAGCATCCTGACCGGGGAACAGACTGCCTTCGGGGCCACTGAAACCACTGCAGTCCCCAGCTCTGTCTGAATGCACAGGCAACAGAAAAAAACAAACACGACTGTGCCTGGTTACTAATTAAGGCTTTAGCCCATCTCTGTTCCTTCCACCACCTAGATAAATGGTAAGATACTGACCACAGAATCAGCCCCACTTTCTGGAGGTACAATGTAGAACTGAACTGTGCTTCCTCAACCCCTTCCCCTAACACTGGTTGCCCAGAAGCCCCACTGTTCTCCGTGGTGAGTTCCCGTGTTTTGCTGCCTCCCTTGTTGTAAGTAGCCAATAAACCCAACTTAGTTCAAATACAGATGTATTCCTGGTGATCCTTGGCAGGGGGGCTCAAAAGAGAGGATAGAACATATAAGAGATAAAATATAGCTTTGAAGTTGGAATTCTATCAACCTGTTTTCTCAGAATCATTGCTTTGGACCCTGAAAGTTCTCTCTTGGGCTGGATCTAAGTCAGAGGTTTTTGTTGTTGTTTTTCCTAATAGGACCTGATTTACTTGTGGGTCATGAGGTGACATAGAAAATATAGTGCATTGCATAAAATAAATATATAAGGATTATTTTTGTGAAATTTTGTTTTAGTAATATATTAAGTTGATCATCTAAAATTGCCCATTTCTAATCATTTTTGATTCACACACAAAAAATAGCTGTTTTCTGTGGTTTAAACTACTGTATGTATCCAATACACTGGGTCACAACATGAAATATACTTCAAATTGTGATCAGTCAAAACATTTAAAAGCCACTGGATGTTTCCAGTGGATGTTCCAGGAAGCTTAGCTTTGGAAAAGCATATGTGCGTCCCCACCTCTCTATCTCACCCTGACCAGTCTCCATGGAAGAGACTTCCTTCTGGGCGTCCTGTTTAGCTCAAGCTCGTCACAGTACATTGCCATTCTCTAACCCATGACAACAGTTTCTTGGGGACAGGGTTGAGTTTTGTAATGTTCTTGGAACACAGACCTCATCCCAATTTAACTTCAGAGTCTGGGTCTCTGGTTGTCACAGGAAACTGGTGTCCCATTAAACCCTAACCTCGGAAGCACAGGGCATGCCGGTCTGTAACTGGGGAAATAACCTCTGGCCAGGTTCCGACGGCCTATTGCCATGAAAACCAAATTTGCGAGACAGGTGCTGCAGTGAAGGGAAGAAGTTTATTTCAATTGCCAGCAAATGGGGAGATGGGGGACTTTTTTTGTCCTCAAAAACCCATCTCTCCCTCTCATAGGTAGGTGTTTTTTAAAAGGAGGGAGAGGGAAAGCAGAACAAAGAAATCGGGGGGGGGGGGGGGGAATGTGGGCAGGGAGTATAAGGGGGTTTCTGGTGGTTTGCAGCCCTGGAATTTGAGTCCCTGTGGGGGTCTTGGGCTCAATGAATGTCTTTATTATTGGTGCCTGGAACAGGATGGTCAGTGTTCTGAAACTGGTCGGGCGGTGATCAGGTATGCAGCATCCAGGTGTTTCTGAGTCCTCATCGATCAGCCTCCATATTCCTGGTAGCCAGTTGTGTAAGTTCAGGGCTGGGTTAAAAATCTTTTTGCTCCTGCCAGTCAACTGAGAACTGCAACAAAATCTTAGCCAGAACATAGGTTAAATATATACTGTTGATTAATCAATTACATGTTCTTAGTAAAAGGGCCTGTTTCTGATGGTCTCAATTCATTTCCTGGAATAAGGGCCCCCACCCCCTGGCTGCCAAAACTGAGCAATCCCACCAAGAGGGATGAGGTGGCGATTGGAGCATAATGAGGGTTTTGACATGAGATAAAAAAAGAAGCGTGCAGAATGGTCCGCCCTAAAGTCCAAATCTGAACGGTTGTTGAGACCAAAGGAGGTGCTATTAATAATTAGACAGGACATGTTAACTGGAATGTGTCACTCCGTTTTTATAGGGGACTTGTTTGCCATGGGGCTGACCTACCCTGTCACCCTGATCTCTGCCAACTTCTCCCTCTGACACCCACCCACTGGTCCCCACGTCCTATCAATTCCTGGCTGTGCCTTTGTCTGTTGAAGTCTTACTCATCAATCTAGACTGGGTTCACATGTCCTCTCCCCCGAAAATGCCTTTTCATTTGCCCCCTCTCCCCTGACCCTCACATAGTTTTCAATCTCCAGGAAGGATGCATGTCTCACTCCTCTTCACCTCCTCCGCAGCATGTGACTAGTAGTGTGTTACTTTGTATGAGTTCTTCACCCAACCTGACTGCAAGCTCTTTGTATGAGGGAGGGATGGTGTTATGCTCATCACAGTTGCTTCCAGAGCTCAGCATCAGACAGAATAGCTGGCAGGTGCTCTCCAAGAGGTCTTGTGTGGTCCCAGGTGATGAGACCCAGCTATCAAATCCTTTTAGGTTGCTTGCCTCTCTTGGAATTCTTAAACGTATTATTATTTCATTAATAAACCAGTTTTAAGCCCTGTTTTGCCCATAATAAGAGCTTGGATAAGTGTGAAGATGAATAAAACTCTGTTTTCATTGTCTCAAAATATTCTAGGCAAGTAGATAAAAATAAAAGGGATGGGAAAGGGAGAGGTAGTAGCATGGTGGGAGCTTCCAGTCGCACGTTCCTTTTGGAACTGTGAGAAACAGGGTGGAGAGGCTGCTGAAATTTCATCCCAGCTGATGACAGAATGGGGACTGCTAGACAAATGTCAGGGAGACCTTCCTTGTGACATTGCACAGTGTCTCCTCCTGGAACAAACTTCTCTTAGAAACTGGGTTGTTGCTATATTATGGGCACTGTGATGTAAAACAAAAAGATCTTTCTCCTTATTTTGAGTTCCAGAAAACTTAGACCTAAATTTTGACCCCTTCTACAACATTTTTGTTGCTAAATTCAATCTTAGTTCCAACTTTCTGCCCTTATATTCCCTTCAGATTAACTCAGTTTTCAAAGTTTTATGTTATATGTATTTGCACAAAACACCATCAGTTTGTTTTTTTTAAAATAAAGGAAATGTATACAGAGCTAAGCAGTTGTGGCAGGTGGCTGATGTACAAAGAAGGGCCTGATCCACCTCTGAGTCTCATTTCCGGAGCCCAGTCCTTATCTCAGCCACAATCTCATACCTCTGGTCTAGGTTGGTCCAAACCCATCCTGTCTAGTGGCTGTTCCCTATACTTCAGAGAGGGGAGCTGTTGTAACCCAGATGGTCTCTGGTGAGCTCAGGAAGTTCCTGAAAATTTGACATTGAAAATTAATTTTAAATTTAATTAATTTTTAAAATCAGGTTGGGGATGTAAATTAAAAGTGGAATGGTGTATGTTATTTAAAAATGTGTTGAAGCACCAAATGATTGGGAATCATTAAATTGTAGGCAAACAAATCAGCAGGTTTGGAGCTCAAAAATCAGACTAGGATTCAAGAAATCTCTGTTGAGCTTCATGGTCTAGGGCAGTGGTTCTCAACCTTCCTAATGCCGCAAGCCTTTAATACAGTTCCTCATGTTGTGGTGACCCCCAACCATAAAATTATTTTCGTTGCTACTTTATAACTGTAATTTTGCTACTGTTATGAATCGTAATGTAAGTATCTAATATGCTATATGTGTTTTCCGATGGTCGTGACCCACAGGTTGAGAACCGCTGGCAGGGATTCCAGGATGGGGAGAGTAAAAGATAAAGAAAGTAAGACATTTAAGTCATTCATTCACTCTTAAGAAGAATGACCCTTTACTAAGTACTGAAGATTTAAAAGAAAAAAACAAAACAAAAAACACTGAAGGGTAAAATATAGAGAAAAAAATCTTTGTGACCTTGAGTTAAACAACAACAAAAAATTAGATATGACATCAAAAGCACAGTCCATAAAAGAACAGATTAATAAATTGGACTTTGAAGGACACCAGAATATGTCATCCCAAAATATGCTCTTTGACATAAAAATTATTTTGAGCTAAAAGCAAGGAGCAGCAAACACACACACACACACACACACACACACACACACACAAACCCTCCTCCTTTTTGACCTAAAGGCAAATTCCTTTTACTAGAGACAGACACTTAATCAACCCAGAGATGCACCAGGGGAATCTGCAAAGAAACCTTCCTCCAGCGGTTTACCTTCCCAGAGGCAGCTTCCCTTTGTCCTGTCCTTTCTCCAACAATGTGTTCTGCCCCATGGAAGATGCTAGATAAGCTGGAATTCTCAGCCACCACTTGAGTGACTTTTGGTGCAGGTTTCTCCCACATCATTTGCGCTGCATGCCTTAATAAATAGTTTTCCCCTTGTTAATTCTTCTTTTTGATAAGAGTCCCAGCTGAAGACCTAAGAGGAGTAGGAATAAAGTCTTACTCCCTTACAACTTCCTCAAAACTTAAAAGAAGAATTCAAAGCTCTGAAGCATAACGTTCATATAAATATGGGTACGCGCACAGGACTCCCAGGCTGGGCGCCTGCTTTTGCAAAGGACACTGTATTGAAACACAGCCACACTCATTTGTTCCCAAACTGTCTGTAACTATTTCCATGCTACAATGGCTGAGTCTACAACAAAGATCTTGTAGCATCCACGCCTAAAAATATTTACTATCTGTCCCTTTAATAAATAGTTTGTTAACCTTTCAGATTAAGCACAGACTGTCCAACAGAGCCAAGATGTATTCATCCTTTCAACACCATGGTAACCAAGTGGGGACTGAGAGACTGTCAGACAAACCAGCCCTCCCATCATACCAGGGAAGATGCAGCCTCTGCCTCCAAGGAGCCCACATGCCAGCAGGAGAGAGAGGCATACACACAAACAGTTAATACGCAGTCCTATGATCGTGATGTAAAGAAAAAGTATGGCTTGTACACCCAAATACCTCAATTTGAATACCAGTTCTGCCAGTTATCAGTTCTGCAATGTTGGGTGAGTCATTTAACCTTTCTGAGCTTTGGTTCTCTTGTCTGTGAAATGGAAATGATTGCATCAAGTGTGATGGGGTGTTATGAGGATTACTGAGCTGCAGAGCATCTAGTTCAATGTCAGAATTCAAAATAATCATTGTTGTTAGTGGCAGTGGTAGTAACAGTAGTCAGAAGTAGATGCAATAGTGATAGAGAATGTATAAGATCACAGCAAAGATGACGGGGCAGTGATATAAGTGTATTGACCAGGGATGTTTTCACAAAGAAGTTGAAATATGATCTGAATCTTAAAGCAGGACAGGACTTACTCATGTGGAGAGGGAGGTCGTGGGACAAAAAAAAAAAAATTAAACCCTTTTGGGGAGATGCAAATTTGCCCAAGATGAGAGAGGGAGAGTGGGGTAGTTTTCTGATATGCCTTAGGTCTACTAAATTCTGGTGACTGTCGGGATAGAGGACGCTCTGCACTTGGATTTAGACAAGGGGACCCTTGCAGTTCCCTTTAAGACTAAGGCAGAAGAACTGACCTGACCCCTGGTGATTTTTCCTTCTTTCCTTTCCCTTCCTTCTTATTGTGGTATCTTTTATGCTGACTATAAGAGGGTCACTGATCTAAAACCTGTGAATGGCCCTACTGGTTTGGCCAGTAGATAGAATGTTGGCCTGTGGACTGAAGGGCCCTGGGTTTGATTCCAGCCAAGGGCACATGCCTGGATTGAGGGCTCAATCCCCAGTGGGGGGCATGCAGGAAGCAGCCAATCAATGATTCTCTCTCATCATTGATGTTTCTATCACCCTCTCCCTCTCCCTTCTTCTCTGAAATCAATAAAAATATTTTTTTTAAAAAAATAATAGAACCGTGAATGCTTCCACATTGCCTATGAAATGAATCTAAGGTTCAAGGCCCTTACAGTTGAGCCCAGTCTTCATATAGAACTTAATATAATTTCCAGCTATTCCTCTCCCCACTCCTTCCTCCATATATTTTAAAATTTTATTTATTGATTTTAGTGAGAGAGAGAGAGAGGAAGAGAGAGAGGGAGAGAGAGATTTGTTGTTCTAGGCTTTGCATTTTTAGCTTCTAATTTTGCCAAATTTCTGATAAAAAGTTATCAAATCTGTCAGATTTCAGTGTAGATAAATATTTCTGGCCATATTAAATAATTTCATGAACTCTAGAGATTACGCAGGTCCTTATCTTCCAGGGTCATTTCCTCTGAGAGCCAAAAGAAATAATTGACAGCCTGCTCCTCCCAGTGAAACTGAGGGTCCTATGACTTCCATTAGACTTAGTTTTAAATTCTAGCTCTAGAAAACATCTCTTTCTTTTTCCTTCTACAACCCTCAGAGACCTACCCTTTCCCCCTGCTCATCAGCCACCCCCAGGCAGCAGAAGACAGTGCCTAGACCTCTGCAGGCTAAAGCTAACATCTTGACCTAAGCCCTGAGGTGGAATGGCCCTCTGGCTACTCCCAACAGAGGGACACTGAAATAGACCTTTGAACTGTCCTCAAGACCTGAAGAAATGATTCACTATCCTTACCTCACTTCTGATCAATCAGGTCCTAAAAACCCCAATCTCAAACCCATGGTGCCTTGTGATTTTGCCTATATAATCTGTTACTTAAAGGCCATCGGGGAGTTTGGGCTTTGAGTATGAGCTTGCCGTTCTGCTGGATGGTGTCATTCATAAATAAATAGCCAATATTTCTCCAC